GCAGCAGCAGCACAATGTGGAAGTGTCGGTGTCGCATTGATTACTGCTATTGCAACCTGTTGTGTCTGTGACATGGGCGTGCTGTGTTATTATCAGTGGCTGGGAGGGAGTCCTGGATGCATGGATGATTGGGAGGTGAGGAGGCAGGGGCGGGCCGGCCCTCCTTCGTTCACTGATAATAATGCTTCGGTGGCGGAGTGCTGATTGCAGCAGTGGTCGGCCCTCATCCACCACTCGGCCGCACTCCACTCGACGACAACGGCGACGACGGCGACGCTGCTTCTGTTTGCATAGCGGGGACTAGCTCGAGGGCCCCCCTCCCCCCTCCGTGTACCCTCGGCGCATTTTGGGTAAATTTGCACTGTGTGTGTGTGACGAGGATGAGGGAGGCCGAGTGCTGCTGCCGAGCCGGGCGGTGCCGTGCGCCCTCTCTGCCGCTGAGTTAGTGAGGTTGATAAGTGCTATCAGAGGGACGGACGCTCGTCGATACCGCAGCGAGCAGCAGTCAGCCGGACGACACCAGCGTCTGGGAGGGGATGGACGTGTTGCACAGTGTGATTGATCGAGATCGTTCTTCCTCCTGACAGATTATGCGGCCTGCTCCTGGGCACTTCCGGCTGACGCATCCTGGGGTGGCGATGCTCCGTAGCCCCAGTACAGTTGTGTCGCGGCGGCGCCTTTCACTGTTGACGTAAAGTCGTTCTCAGTGACGGATTTTGCGTCGGCGGTCAGAAAGAGCGCTCGAAGGGCCGATGCGTGTGCCGGTGGGGTGGCGTGTCGAGCTGTACAACGAGCATAGAAGGGGCGAGCATGAATGAACGTGGACAAAGGAACAAAAGTCCTGGATCTATGAGCGCGTGTCCTGACGGTACCAGGCGGCGTACTCACCGGCAGCAGCGAAGTCCGCCAGTGAAAAGGGTTCAGAAATTTTCGCTTTACGAAAGGTGCCGTTTTGAAGCGTGCAGGTCGATGTTCACGAGGATTATCACTGAGCATTTTAAGAGATATCGCAGCGAGCAACGACGACGCGCCCAGCGAGCTGCAACACGGCGACGACTGGCTGGTGCTGGAGTGCTCTCAGAGAGGTATCACTTTCCACGCTATCCCTCTCTCCTTTTCGCCGCTTGCGGGAATGCTGTGACCAGTGGGATGCTTGCTGGCCGAACAAAAGATTGATAAGAAACAAGTATGGACTGTGCAGCTGCAAGCTAACAAAACACTGCTCATCACTCCCGCTTCGAAGCGCTTGACAGGGCTCTCTCCCCCTGCCCTCCTTTCTTGCATCGCTCGGGCTTGTCGACTTGTAAAAGTCAAAAAACTTTTTCATTTTGAGCTGTGTGCGAGGTATTGCCCAGACCATGAAAGTACGTGAAATTCAGTTACAGCCTCAAAAGTTCTTCCGACAGTGAAAAACTTGGATTTTCGTGCATTTACGTAGTGCATTACACGGGTTTAGTAATTATTGGGGAAAGGTAGCCGAGAAAAGACGGACCTGACACCGCTGCGTTGGCTTTCGTTTTTGTCTCAGTGCCGTCGACGCGATCTCTTCAGAAATCAGCTGGCATCTGCACAGTTGCGAGTTGCTTTTTCCAAAAGCTAGCATTTGCGAATAGCTTGTATAGCAGCTTACCAATTTGCATGCATCATCCTGTCTCTCGCTTTCTCTCCCGAAAGCGCCCAACTCGGTGTACCTGGTTGTGATGGTGGCGCTGAGATGAGCACTGAAAGCAGGGCGGACTTGCCTTTTTTTTTGTATTTGCTAACGTTGGAAATGAGCGCTGTTGCGTTTGAAATTGCAACCAGTATATACATATATATTTGTATGTAT